ATACTATGCGAAATCTTTTCATGATTGAATCATTTCTGTGAATTGAATATTGGAATTTTGGTAGCTGTTTAAAAAAGAACAATTCTGAATGGCGTCAATTAATTTTGATATGCCATATTTCTGAAATTTATGATCGTAAATCAGTGAAATTTAATTCATCTTCTGGAAAATTATGTTCTGTACATATTTGACCTCTTGTTATTTTTCGCTGTGACCGTTTTCCCGAAGTAAATCAATGAAATGGGAAAGACAATTTCCACTGCGTTGATTTTGTCCCTACTAGTGTCACGTCACGAAAGCGATGCTCCGGCCCGGTGAGATAGAGTAGGCCCTGCTTAACGCCGCAAAACCGGACGGTACAGTGCACTTTACCGCCCGCTATTATCCAAAAATTGTTTAGCCATAGAGAACTCTAATTCCAATTCTGAATCCAATGACATATTATACTTTACAATTATTCGACGTTTCGGACCAAACAAGCATCATCAGTGTTATTTCATTATGGTAACAAGGAAATGAAACGTCGGGGATCAAAAATGTTTTGATGGCATCTTATAGAGAATGCATTGGAATAGGAATTAGTTTTTTAGAGCCATAGAATTTTTTTCGACCATTTAAGAAAACAAAGTTGATAACGGCTCCTCGAAGACGAAACGGGCCGGAAAAAGTGACAATGATAATATGAAACTTATTTTGTCATATCACTTCAAATAAAGTCACGAAAAATAAAAAACAAATCGCGGATGTTCGGACTTCGAAATGATTCGCAATTTCTAAACTTTTGAGACGACATTTTGATCAGCATAAACTTTGCCCTAATTTAACCGACTTTGTATCTGTTAGGGTTACCGAGATCCCAATGATACCCCTCGAATTTGAAACACTCTGTAATTTTTCTTTCATATTCGGTTTCTTCAGAAGGTCAATTAATTGAAATTATTTGAACTATTTTACCAACTTTAACTTTAATTTTTATTGCCATTCCTTCTTTACGGTGGCCTGCTTCGCGCGACCTTCCATCTTGCTGGCTTCACGTTGGAAAACTCAACAGAGTTGGTGAGTTGGGAAACAGTGCTGCATGAAACTCGAGGTGAAACAAATTTAATTGTAATACATATTGACAGGTTGCCTAGTTTCAGTAATAATCATAAATGGATGGCAGAAGGACTTCGGTCGATAGCCATTTGAACTTTGTTGTTCAATAAAGTAATTTTTTCTGTGACAGGAAAAGTTAGAAATTCCATCTCTGTTGACAGGTTATAAAATGTCACTTAGTGAGTACTTTTTTCCCGGACATATATCATATATATATATACACTGTAGATGACTTTTGTTGTGCTATAGTTCCGAAAAATAAACCAATAACACCGACTCCAAGAAAGAAAGTCATTCCAGTTAAAAACTTCAAATTTCACGTCGATAATTTTCTGATTTTGATATAATGTAATATCTTCTCAATATTGATTAGTACTTTTTCCTGTCACAGAAAAAAATATTGTATTATACTTGGGGAAAATATTACATTTTAACTCACGGTTTTTTGTCTCCCTCCACTATGCGTCAGGAGCTAAAATCGACTACTTTTTCCCTTGTATAGTAAATAACTATCTTTTCTGTGACGGTAAAAAAAGTTTGACGTTTAATATCTGCTGATAGGTTATAAATAGTTATTTATCATACAAGGGAAAAAAGTAGGAGATCTTAGCTCCAGGTTGTGCTACGCTACGCGTCGGGAGCCAAAAAACCGTGAGCTAAAATCTAATATTTTTCCGTGTATAATACACTATTTTTTTCTGTGACAGAAGAAAGGACGAATCAATATTGAGAAGATATTACATTATTTTGAAATCTGGAAATTATCGATGTGAAATTTTAATTAAGTTTTCAACAGTAGGGACACCTGCATTGTAGGCATCTTTATCATTCTTTTGAAGTAATCAAATATCTGATGTCACTTCTGTCAGTCTAATTCTGTGATTTGATTTCAAAATATTGTGAATTTAGTGGTTGTTTAGTAATATACGTAACCCCGAAATCGAATGGAAGATAAAAGGACTTGCAGTTCTTTATGGGAGACGGTATTATTGACTCATTTTTCGGAAATATAGCACAACAAAAGCCATCAACAGTGTATATATACACTGTGTCCATAAAGTCACCCCCCCCCCCTGGTTAACTTTAGAACGGATGGGATTTTTTTTTCAATTTTTTCCTGCTTCAATGATGATTTCATTGCTACATATTGTTCCAAAAAAAGAACATGTATCCTCCAAAATGGCGCCTGGGCGCCATTTTGGAAGATTTTTTTGAATGGAGTGGGGGGTCGAAAGATACCTCGATTGAAAGGTCTTTCGATTCTCTATACAACCTCAGAATCTCAGACGAAAATATTCATCCAAAACAAAATGGCGGATGATAACGTTTGAAATCTCACACCAGAATTCTTTGGACTAGATGGCTATTAAAGTGCTCGCATGTGATCTTCAAATCTCTATTGGCGTATAGAAAAGTTGTCTATCTATGAAGATATCAATAGAAAGCCATTTTGAAGAGAATAACATGGTAGTCACGTGGAATAAACATTGTTCTTTATTTTGAATAAATATTTCTAAAATTTTGCAGAATTTGGAAAGGCAATCGAGCAGAGGTAATAATTGACTACCATGTTATTCTCTTCAAAATGGCTTCCTATTGATATCTTCATAGATAGAGAACTCTTCTATACGCCAATAGAGATTTGAAGATCACATGCGAGCACTCTAATAGCCATCTAGTCGAAAGAATTCTGGTGTGAGATTTCAAACGTTATCATCCGCCATTTTGTTTTGGATGAATATTTTTGTCTGAGATTCTGAGGTTGTATAGAGAATCGAAAAACCTTTCAATCGAGATATCTTTCGACCCCCCACTCCATTTTTCCCACGGGGAAAAAGTGATTTATGAAAAGTGACATTTTATAACCTGCCAAGTGCCAACAGAGATGAAATGCCAAACTTTTTTCCCGTCACAGAAAAAATACATTTAATCTCTGTTGATAGGTTATAAAATGTCACTTTTCATAAATCGCTTTTTTCCCAGGGAGAAAAAGTGAGTACTTTTTTCTCCGATATATTGATGGTTTATGGTGCTAGTTCCAATAGCCAATAACACCGTCTCCGAGAAAGAACTGCAAGTCCTTTTATCTTCCATTCCACTTTGTGGTCATATAAATAACTAAACAGTCACAAAGTTTACATTTTTTTTTTAATCAAATAAAGAAAATAAAGATGTCTGCAACGCAGGTGTAATTCCTGTTGAAAACTTCAAATTTCAAGTCGATAATTTTTTGATTTTAATATAATGTAATATCTTCACAATATTGATTCATCCGTTTTCCTGTCAGAGAAAAAAATAGTTCATTATACACAGGAAATATATTAGATTTTAGCTTAGGTGATTGGGAGAGATTTAAATAAATACAAAAATAAAAATACCAGTTTCCTAATACAATAATATTGTAGCTATCAAAGACTACACATCTATGTATGTATAAATGTACAGGGTGTTCCATTTGAAGAAAAACCGGAAGTCCGCCATATTGGATTGTGATGTCATCAAATCCGAAATGGTGGCTTACATGAATGTACCAAATATCAGGAAAATATTTTTCAAGAATGCAGAAGTTACAGGGGTGGCCTGATACCCTGTGTCCCTGGTATAGCAATGACCAGTGGAGAGTAACTTTTTGCATATAATCCTGGTAAATATAGGTGTTTTCATAATGAGAATTACGAGGAGAATTACCAAAAACAGTGAACTGAATGTTTAGATAGATAGGGTTAGATGAGCATATGGATAGATATAATTTTGCTTTGAAACTCTAGAACACCATAACTAAGAAATGAGAATGATTATCATTAAGGGCTTTTCTAAATAGGGCCCAGGGTCCCATCTCATGCTCTATTAATGCACCTGTTGTTATGGAACAGATACACAAAATCACTTATCAAACAAACAATTTTTGTGTAAACTGCTATTTTATATTTTCTGACATTTTCAGACTAGTGTAGAAATCAGTTATTTGAGGTACTTGAATTGAATGCTGGAATGTTCAATTCTTGAAGGATTGTAGGAATCTCGGTAGGAATACAATATTTTGATACCCAAAAACAACAAATTAAGGTTCACAAAGTAGGTTTACAAGACATTTTTTTGATAGCTGTTCAAGAAGTTGTGTTTTATTGCAGTCCACCAGTAGTGCATAATGCCAATGTGAGTAAATTCTCTAACTATTATTGATATAATAGTGAGACAAAATGATAACCACTAGCTTCCTGGCAATTACTTAGAAGTTATATATACAAAGATACCTTATAGTATACCATATTGTGATTTTGAAAAGGTTTTACTGATAATGAATAAATCATATCAAAGTATTACTCAAATTCCAATATCATTACCTAGTACCAACAAATAAATTCATGGAACAAAATATATTGTGTTGGGATTTTTACTGCTCATATTTTCTAGTTTTCACTGGCTATTTGGTATTTGTCCTTATATGCAAAAGTTACACATCTCAATAAAACAACAAACTGTCTGATAGAGCCAAAAGTAAGCAGTAGAACTACCAAAATATTGAACAAATCCACACTAATTCCAGGGGTATTGCATGAAAAGAATTCATAAAATTAATATATTTACTAGTGTTTACTCAAGATGTGGGGACATAAAAATCATAATTGGATTGATCTTTATTCAAATAACTGAGTTTTCAAAATTTTATTTATTGATAATGCCATAACTAGGCAGAATCAAGGGGAAAGTTGATAATGAAATATTTGAGAAAATAAAAATTCTTCATACTGAAAAAAGGTTATGACAATATATATACAATTGCAACCAGTCTAGTGTACAGCACATGATGTGAGTTATATTGAAATTATATGATGATTCCATATGAAAGGATTACATTGAAGGTGTTATTCAGAGTTGACAAAAAACATCCAGGATGATCTTACCTTGTAGTTTTCTCGTCGCGGCCATGTCTGCTACTTTCAGTTCATATTAAATATTATGTCCTATCTTATTGTTCTTAAACCAACATTGCCATCGGCAAATGAAACAACATCCAGTTCTTAGAAAATAAATCACAAATCCTCAAAAACCCTGTAAGAAAAATATTCTATTCAGTATTTTTCCTCGAACTACAACATAAATAATCCATATCCCTTATCTTATCCCAATCAATTTCTTCAAGCTCAACACAGAACACAAAACACAACCTCACAGATCACAGAATAATAGACATATTAGACATAGAATATAAAAATGTCAGTGAGTCAGACAGTCAGAATGTCATAAATCAGACGAACATCTTGTGGCAGGATCACAGAATGGTGCTGGCTTGATTCACAGTTTCAAATTCATAAAATCCCTGACGATGGGGGATTTCTATTCGCAAAAGGTCGGAAAGAGATGAAATTTAGTGACATGGTAGAGATAGATTCTCTGATAGTCCACCTCAAGGTTGGTAGAGCTGAGGAAAATTATCATCACAACATCACATGAGTTTGCGACCACGGGGGGCTGTCGCTTGAGGAGTGAGGGGATGAAAACTCTGCCTCGCGGCGCTTGGTGGAGAGTAGCACCGTTGGGGTAGGTGCTATTGAAAAAATGTTTCTTCAAAAGATGTAGAGAACAAAATTGTGCTCAATCTTGATATTGCATTTTTTGACTACGACTGATGTTTGCTCTACGACGCGCCAAAGCTGGGGGGTAGTCTGCAATTTTCAACAAAATCATAATTCAAAATCGCGGATTGAGACAAAGATGACAACCAAACAATTCTTTTATATATTTTTGCTATAAGTAATATCTTCTCAGTTCGCACATGCCTTGATACACTTCACCGTGTATATATATATATTTTTTTATCGCTTGGAGCGCACGGAAGGGAATCCCTATAATGTTCAAAGAACATCGTGCGTTTCTAGGGAGGATAGGGATAGGAGGTAGGTATTGGATTTTTTTTGAACTTCTGGAGAATATTTATGTTGTTGGGAATACTTCCTCAGGCAATGAATTCCAGAGCCTAGCCGTTCTACGGATGAAGGAGTTTTGATAAAGTGCTGTTCGACATCTTTCGAGGTTGATAACGAAAGGATGTGCTGACTGGGATTGTCTAGTTCGTCTAACTGGTATTGCTAGTGAAGGGATGATAGCAGAGATTTCCGAAGAACATTTCCATATATAATGAAATATATAATTTTTTGAAGCGCGCTCCTACATTACTTCGATATGAGCATTTTTCAATCATCCTGATCTACGGTCGAAATTTCCTTATTAGCCTTTACACTAATTTTCAACTCCTCTGCACACCACCTTTGAGGTAGAGTTGTTGTGAATCTTTTATATGTAGGAATAAGCAGATCACTAATCACTGTTTTCCATCGTCCAAATAAATCATTGTTGAAACAGAAATAAACTACTTTCCACAATGGAATAATTTCACATAATTCATTTACCGACTGAGTTGAAAAATATAATTACATTATGCAATAAGAATTAAAGCCAATCTTGAACAATACCTGGTCCGGACAATCTGATTCAGAAATATGTGGTATGATTAGTCTGTGGTATTAACCAGGAGGGTAGCTTTTTTTTATATTCGAAAAATGATTTTCTCGCATTTATCAAAAAATATCAGTTTTCACAAAAATCGACTTATCTTATACAAGATAGGAACTTTCTGAAATCCTTTTCTGGTGCCTATGAAATACTTTACCCTTGTGTTCTTCCATACAATTTTGCGGACTGTGTATATCATATCTACTCATCTCATAAAGATACACGATAGAAAGTTTTTGAGATTTCTTTCTAGCCCTACCATATGGGCATATGGGATACACTTTTACTCGTGGGTTTATTCATGAAATCTTGTGTACCTACTGGGTATTTTTGTGAATCAAATTGTGATGTATTAATATCGAATTTATTATTATATACCTGTGTGCCTCACTCTGTATGTTCTTTCAGCATCTTTTTATATACAGTTCTCACATGAGTTTTTTATACGCACCTACCGTTGTACGATTTAGCAAGTAAACGGCAGTCTATAGATAATGTTAACCGAAAACACATGTCATATTAAATTAATATATTAGTAGTTGGGAAAACCTGAGTTTATGTTCATAATAACAACTCCCAGCGAAACATTGGCGACGAGAGATAAAGTGTTTTAATGTTAAGTTGTTACCGAATTCGATAAAATGGCGAATTTGGGACACATCAGAGAATTCGATCCTCATACTAGTGATTGGACCATCTTCAGTCGTAGACTGGATAACTATTTCATAGTAAATAGTGTAACGGACAACCCCAAGAAATGTGCCATATTATTGAACGCGCTTAGTGAGGAGGCCTACAAGTTAATCTACAATCTGTCATTACCCAACAAACCTGAAGAAAAACAGTATGCAGACTTGGTGAAAATGTTTAATGACCATTTCAAACCCAGTGAGTCTGTGTTCGCCTATCGGTACAAGTTCTACAATGCAACAAAGTTACCACAAGAAAGTTCGGCAGAATGGGCCGCGAGAGTGAGAAGTCTCGCCTCATATTGTGAGTTTGATGCAAATGTACTCGATATGATCCTCAGGGATCGTTTCGTTATTGGTTTCGAAAAAGGAGCAGTGCAAGACAGACTTTTCGAGGAAAAGAAAGACTGCACATTCAACGATACCATTCACATCGCTTCATGCAAAATGGCTGCGAAGCAGAATACCTCGTTGGAGGGGCCAGTGATAAAGGTTGAACCGGGCGTTCATCACGTAACACAATGGAAGAAACGTCAAAATACGTATCCTGTCCAAGGTCGACCGTCAACAAGTGGAGGTGCAAGTGGAGGTGCAAGTGGAAGTGCAAGTGCAAATCGAAAATGTGCTGTTTGTGGAAGGGGCAACCACCCCACAATCAAATGTAGATATCGTGAGTTTACATGCAATTTGTGCAAAATGAAAGGACATTTGGCACCAGTGTGCCCAAATAAACATAATAATGGAAAAAATACAAAGAATTTTCAAAATTTTCTAGAAGTAAATGAAGATGAATGTTTTTCAATCTACTCTTGTTTGGTAAGTAATGAACCTTATTATGTTAACGTCACGATTGATAATAAAGAGTATTCTTTTCAACTTGACTCGGGAGCAGGTATTTCGGCGGTTTCAGAAGATTTCTATATGAGTAACTTCGAAAAATATCCATTAACCCCATCAGATAAAGTTCTGCATTTTTATAATGGAAATAAAATGAAACCGTTAGGAGTTTTTCAGGCCGAAGTTTTTTTTAATGATGTTTCTCACATTATTGATATTTTTGTCATAAGAAACGGAGCAATTCCAATATTGGGACGTGATTTCATGAACCTTTTCAACTTAAATATCACGGTTTCGGTTAATTATTCCGATACTCATATTAGTATTGAGGAAATTATGAAAAGATTCAAGGATGTATTCGCGCCAGGACTCGGTACCTTTTCCAAAGGAACTGTATCATTGAAATTGAAAGACGAAACTTCTCCTAAGTTTTTTTCGTGCCAGGCCTTTACCTTATGGTATAAAAGATAAAGTTGACGCGGAATTAAATAGATTGGTGGAGATAGGTATATTAAAACCCGTAGATTATTCACCTTGGGCAACTCCCATTGTCCCGGTAATAAAAAAGGACGGTACAGTACGCATATGTGGCGATTTTAAAATTACGATAAATCCTGTTCTCGAAATTGACCAATTCCCGCTTCCAAGAATAGACGATTCGTTTGCTGGGCTACAGGGTGGTGCAATTTTCTCCAAATTAGACCTTTCTCAAGCTTACGCACAGATATGTTTGGACGATAAATCAAAAGAATTAGTTACGATATCTACGCATAAGGGTTTATTTCAATATCAGCGATTGCCTTATGGCGTTGCATGCGCATGCGCTAAATTTCAGAAGATTATGGAATCTTTATTGCAAAATATTGAGGGATCGGTAGTTTTTCTTGATGACATTTTGATTTGCGGAAAAGATAATATGGAGCATAATATACGACTTGAAAAGGTTCTTGTTCGTTTACAAGAAGTCGGTTTGAGAGTTCGTGCAGATAAATGCAGTTTTAATCAATCCGAAGTCCAATATTTGGGTTACATAATCAATAAGGATGGTTTGCATACATCTCAAGATAAAATTATTGCGATAAGAGATGCTCCAATTCCGGAAAATGTTACCCAGTTAAAATCTATACTGGGAATGATAAATTATTACGGCAAATTCGTCCCCAACCTAGCGACAGTATTAAATCCCCTGTATAGCTTACTTAAAAAAGATAAAAAATTTATTTGGAGTCGTGAATGTGATGTGGCATTCAACAAAATTAAAGATTTGTTGATGTCAGCAAATGTACTAACGCATTATAATCCTGAATATGAATTGAAACTCACCACTGATGCAAGTCCGTATGGTATCGGATGTTTGATCAGTCATGTTTTACCAAATAAAGTTGAAAAACCTATAGCATATGCGAGCCGTACGCTCTCAAATGCTGAGAGAGGTTATAGCCAAATTGAGAGGGAGGGTCTTGGTATCATTTATGCTTTGTGCAAGTTCAACCAATACTTATATAATAGAGAATTCATTTTAGTTACTGATAACAAGCCCTTAATGGCAATTTTCAATCCTAAAAGGGGCATTCCCCAATATTCAGCGAATAGACTTCGTCGCTGGGCGGTAATTCTAACCAATTATCGTTATAAAATTGAATAGGTATGTGAAGTCTGAAGAAAATACTGCAGATTTTCTGTCACGATTACCGATCCATAATGAAGGTGAAAATGAATGGAAATCTGTGGATGTAGACTATTTCAATCATTTTTCTGAAAATGAAATTACAGCAGTTCATTTTGATAATATCAGACAACATATACGGTTTGATGAAATTTTACAAAGAGTGATTAAATACGTTAGATATGGTTGGCCAAAGAGCGCAAAGAAAGGTACAAAATTCAAGCAGTACTATCCTATTAGGCATGAACTTTCTATCGAGGATAATATTCTGTTGTGGAATCATCGAATTGTTATACCGGGTGTATTAAGAAAGCGCATTTTGGCGCAGCTTCACTCATCTCATTTAGGTGTTATCAAAATGAAAAGCATTGCTCGTAATCATTTTTATTGGCCAGGTATCAATGATGATATCGAAAAATTGTCCAAATCATGTCAGGATTGTTCTGTCAATAAGGCAAGTCCTCCGAAAA